AGTAGTAGTAGTAGTAGTAGTAGTAGTAGTAGTAGTAGTAGTAGTAGTAGTAGTAGTAATAGTAGCCTCTAGCCTTTCTGCTCGCCCTCGTCCTCCTCTTCGTCCTCTTCCTTGTCTGCCTATTCCTCCTCATCCTCCTTCTCCTGCTCCATTTTCCCACTTCCTCCTCCTCCTCCACCTCCTCCTCCTCCTTCTCATCCTCCTTTCCTCCTGTTCCTCCGGTTCCTCCTTTATTCTCCCCCGCTCGGGGTACGACGGTTTCCTCACCCTTCATTTTAACGCGCGCTCTTCCACATCCCTGATCAGGGCAACTCGCTTGGGCATCGTTTCTGGCTGGGGGGGGGTACTTTTTGATCTGCGGCTCAAAGGACGACTCCAGAGAGTGGGTCAATCTCGACAGGGGCGCAAAGCGAGATGATTGACAACGAAGGCACATAGGCCAACGCCGCAATGCACATGCGAGGGACAATATGTCCCTCATTAGAACCGACCCGGGAACGGAAAACGGCAGCAGACTGGAAAAGCCGGCGGAGGGTCGCACTGTGGCGCCAGCCCCCGCAGACCAAGCCTGCGCGATGGCGGGAACAGGAGAGGCACCGCCAAACGCGGCGAGGAGGAGCAGAGGGGGGACAGGCGCGGGAGGCGACGAGGGGAGGGGGGGGAGGAAACAAGGCCTCACTCACAGGACACCTCACGTGCTCGAAGCCAGGTGCGTCAACGAATGCCGGGTGTCGGCAGCCTAGTCGTAAGAGTCCCAGCTTGCACCTGCCTTGCCAGTGGATGGGGGGAACGCTGCGAGGTACCACGGCAAAACCACCCGGCGGGAGGCCTGCGGACCTGCCCGTGGGGGAACCGCTGGGCTGTCGTGAACCACGTGCGCCGTTCGCCGTGGAAAGGGACGTTGACGTGATGCGTACGCAAGCAACCACTGAGGGGGTTACGCGAAGCGTCTAGAATTGAAGGGGCCATCACGTGCTACTAAAGGGCACCGCTCCCTCATGCATGTAAACTGCTGCTGCAGACCCTCGTTACGCTGAGGCGCGCCCGCCCGCCCGCGTCGGCTTCTCAAAGGCAAGGGCCATTAAGGTGAGGCCCTCGCGGGAGAGAGGAGGGTTGGGAGACGAAACAGTTTGGAGAGGTGGGAGGGATATGGAAAGAGGCAGAGGACAAGACGAAGGGGGAGATGAGAGGAACGAAGGGAGAAACTTGGGGGGAGGAGAAGAGAGATGGAGTTAGGTTTGAGAGGAAAGGAAGGGAATGTGGACGAGCAGCAGATGGGACATGGGAGGCCGGAGGCAGGGCAGGGACGGGGGGAAGGGCAAGGTTTGCGCTGAACGAGGCATCCCGCCCTTGGTCAAGAGCCCCGTCCTCGAGGTCCGCCAAATGGGAGGCGTACAACTGATCGTAAGCGCGGTCTTGCTCGCCCTCCGGCTCCGGCACCACGTCACAGAGCAACTTCAAATCCAGCTGGGAGGGATGCCCGCTAGGAGTAAGAAGAAGAGGAGCTCTGGCCCATCTACACGCGCAGGGTCAACCTCACCTCCCCCTCGCTACCCCTCAATCTCCATCCACCCCCCTCCTCCCCTCCATGTATCCCCTCTCTCACTCTAAGCTCTGTCGCGCCCTCGTGTCACTGGCCGCACGCTGCCTCCTGCCCCCTTCAATCCTCCAAACCCGCCGCCCCACCATCCCCGATGGTCTTTGCTGTAATTCTTTAGACGCCCCGGTTGAAAGGGAGAAGAGGGGTGGCGATGTCACACGAGGCGTCTGACACCCAAAAGGTGAGACGATCGGAGATGTCCAGGACGCAGTGCGGGGACGGTGACGGGAGGGAGCGAGAGAGCGGAGTGTGAGGGAGGGGGGAGATGGACGGAGGTGAGAGAGTGGGAGACAGGGGCAGGGAGGGACAGGAGGGGGAAGGGGCAGGATGAGGTAGGGCCAGGGGGCGGTAAGGGTGGCAGGTTTTACGCTGAAGGAAACACCCCGCCCGTGCTCGAGAGCCCCCGTCCTCGAAGTCCACCAGCGCAGAGTCGCACAGGTCGTCGTAGTCGCAGTCTTGCTCGTCCTCGGGCTCTGGCACCTCAGGACAAGGCAGCTCAGCGTCTGGCTGCGTCGCGGGAAGGGCGCCCTGGCCAAGGATTTCGCAGTCGCGCTCGAAGACCATGAGCACCGAGTCGCCCTGCATAGGGCGACTGAAGCGCCGCTAGCCAGGAACAGGCGTAGATTCGTTTGCTTGCAAAGACATCCAACAAACCACTCGACCCCTTCCCCGGGACCAACCTTTTTGTTCATCCTGACTCGACTCTTGACAGCACTGGGGGACCGCAACCACCGTCTGGAGGCCCCAGGCGAGGGGGGTGGAGGGGGAGAAGATGCCACCTGTATTCTGCGAAGGCCACCGAGGTGTAGGTCCGCCTAGGCTCAGCGTCAGACATGTCCAGTGGTGCTTCTGAATGGAATTTCGAGGCGGCTTCAGCCGTGGCCGCCGGGGTGACCCAAGACGCCTAAACAAACTCCTCCTACATCATTCTTCAGATCCAGGCACCACAGCCCCCCGTGACCCCGCGTGCCAGATCGTGCCTGACCAGCAGAGCCCAGACGGTAGGCCGACAGTACACACGGCGCCAGCAAGACGCACCGTGGAAATCACGTGCTCGCACACGTGCCTCCCTCCCCCTCCTCCCCCTCCTGGCCCTCCTCGCAGAAGGAGGGGGAGGATGGGGAGGAGGAGGAAGAGGAGGAGGAGGAGGAGGACGCCCACGACCGTGAAAGGGTACGACAGCATTCGACATGCGCAACGAACAATTTGGAGGGAACCGACGGCACTAGGGCTCTCCAACGCTCCCAAGCACCCCGTCCCTCCTCCACCCTCCATCATACCCATCCGCCCAGATCCCTCTTCCAACCCATCCTGTGGGGAGGGCCGTGGAGGGGGGTGAGTGGAGGGAGGGAGTCTCCCGGCCGCCCCCCGCTTCAAAGGACCACTGAGGCCTCAGAGGTCCCTGGTGCCCGCCAGAGGCCCAACACACGCCCCAGAGCCTTGGCCCTCGACCAGAATCCGCTCCAATTTCTTCTTCCCATCTAAAACTAGATGTTCACAAACGCAACGCGTGACTTGAAACATGAGACGTACAACCTCTGACCGCACCGCCGCGAGCGAACTCTTATCCCTCAGTCCCGCAAGAGCCACACGGGAGTCCACAGGAGCAAACCCATGCCCCTTCCAAGGCCCATCCTAGCCGGCCTTTTGCATCCTGGACCAGTCTCTGAAGGCCCCCAAAACCAGAAGCGGGCATCCAGAAAGCCAGGATCGAGACAAAAAGCCTCAGGCGCGTTGTCATGCCCGCGAGCCTCGATCCTCGAACGTCCATCCTCCTCCCCCTCCGCACCCCCTCTCCCCACTGGTGATACCCCCCGCCCCCCCTCAGTGCAGGCGTCCCGAATGGGGTCTGAGTAGATGGGGGTCGGAGGAACGCGGCGCAGATGCATCGGCGACGTCGGCAATGTCGGCGTGGAGAGAACCGCGGCCTCGCGCCTCCACGTCGTCAGCCCCTTCCCGGAGGAGGAGGAGGAGGAGGAGGAGGAGGAGGAGGAGGAGGAGGAGGAGGAGGAGGGGGAGGAGGAGGAGGAGGAGGAGGAGGGGGAGGGAGGAGGAGGAGGAGGAGGAGGAGGAGGAGGAGGAGGAGGAGGTGGAGGAGGAGGAGGAGGCCCCCTCGCAGAATCCTGGGGGCAGGCTGGGCCCCTGGGCAGGCGCCCGCCGCTCCACGAGGCCTGCTCGCCCATGGCCTGGTCGCAGAGGCCATCCAGCGCCATATCGCAGTGCTGCTCCAGGCGGCCCAGGAAGGCCTGGAAGTCGAGCCCGGGGTCTCCTTCGATGGGGGGCAACAAAAAACAGCAGATCCGTCCGCGCTCTCCCCCCCCCGCCCCGCACTCTCTCGCGTCTCGCCTTGCCGCCTCCTCCCCTCACTCACCACCTTCCCTTCCTCCCTCCATCCCTTGTCCGCCCCACCTCCCTCCTCCATCTTTTACCCCAGGGGGGAGAAAAAGAGGGATTGTTTTGGGGGGGTCGAGGGGAACAGAGCTGGGGGAAGACGGCGGAAGGAGGGGGATGAACATGTGAAAAGAGTGAACAGAAGCTAGGATCGCTCGCGCAATATCTGACACCCTACTCTTCCCACTCAACCCCTCCCCCCCTACCCATTGCGCTGAATTCGTTTGTATCCGTGGGGTGTCCTATATTACATGAGCAGGAGCATCGGCGGAAGGCGGATAGGGGGAAGAGGATGGTGCGGCAACGACGAAGGACTGGGATGCAGAAGTGTGGCCCGCGCTGGGAGAGAGAGCCATTTTGGACCACGGGGGCAAAGCGCCGACCCGCAATTGTGGCCAACGCTGCAGAGGGAGCATCTGAGAACGGTCCGATCGACGAAACACACAAGACGGGGGTGAGGCGGGAGCAGCACAGGATGGCGGAGAGGCGGCGGCAGCACTGCGCAGTATGAAGGGGGAGGGGATAACAATTGCTCGCATCGTGCAGCTTTTGAAAGAGGGGGGAGGGGGTGGCGAGATGGGGCTGAGGCGAGACGGGCAACGGGGAAGACGGGAGATAGAAGAGAAAGGGATGCTGAAATTGGGGGGTGGGGCAGAGGCAGGGGGGGGGGAGAGGAGGGGAAGACGCAAAGGCTGGGATGCGGGAAGAGGGAGACGAGACGAGCAGCGGAGCCGTGCGTGCCCCACTGGGGGGGGGGGGGGCCTGCTCGCGCCCGTCAGGGCATGGCGGGACGGCCGTGGCCTCAAGGAAATACCCACGTCTCTGGTTGGCCCTCCCCGGTCCGCACCTTCGCTGGGGGATGCGGGAGGCTTCGTGCGGCGCCACGGCGGCAACTGCTTGCCGTCGACGTCGGCCTTGGCGGCTCCCCTGCCGCCCCTCCCTCCGACTTTGAGAAGCCTCCCGAACGGGGCCCAAAGTGAGTCGGGACTGCCGGGGACACCCGAGAGGACACCAGGTCTCTTCTGAGAGAAGCCATTGCTCCAGACATGAAGACAAGGCACTCACCGAAATGGACAGGACACACATTGTTTTTGTGTGCGTGTGTGTGTGTGTGTGTGTGTTGTGTGTTGTGTGTTTGTGTGTGCGTGTGCGCGTGTGCATGTGTGCGTGTGCGTGTGCGTGTGCGCGTGCGCGTGTGTGCGTGCGTCGTGTGCGTCGTGTGCGTGCGTGCGTGCGGGCGGGCGTGCGCGTGTGTGTGCGTGTGTGTGTGTGTGTGTGTGTGTGTGTGCGTGTGCGTGTGCGTGTGCGTGTGCGTGTGTGTGTATGCGTGTGTGTGCGTGTGTGTGTGTGTGTGTGTGCGCGTGCGACGCTCCCGCCGCCGAAGTCTGCCCTACGCTTCCCGATCCAAGCCCTGGCACTTGCACCGCCGAGACCTTTTCCGCGCTGACCTCCGCAACGTCGGACGGGACGGGAGCTGCTGCCGCCTCGCCATCCCTTGGTGCGGGGCATGTCCGCGCGTTCCGATTGGCTCGCTGCCGACGCCCAACTCGCCGACTCGACGATTCGCGTGCAGGGTCGCCTTCCACGTCGATCGGGAACGGCACTGGCTGGAAAACCCCCCGCCATGCTTCGGCTGCTACAACCGCCGAGGGCAGCCCTGAGGGAGTCCCGAGCCTCATCGCCCATTCACCCCAGCCTCCCCTCCCCCCTTCGCATTCCAACTCCCTCCCCATCGGAATGGAACTTCTCGCCCAGACGTGACGGATGACGCCGTCGCCGAAGGGGGTGTGGAGGGTCGCCCTCCTCGCGCCAAAGGCGGCCCCTGACCGGGCCTCTCAGGCCCGCAGCCGCACGCGATCGCCGATCGGAATCACGGAAGGACCCCCTTCCCCTCACCGCCTCGCCCCAGTTCCAACTCTGACCCCTAACCTTCCCTCCGCCTTCAGATCCAGCGGCAGGCTCCGGACCTCCCTCGCCCAGGAACGAGTCAGCACAGCCTGGATCGCCGATGCCGACTTCTTCGCCAAGGCGGTCGAGAGCATCGATACCAATTTCTTCGCCACCACTGCCGGGACTGCCAGCGCTGTCATCCTCGCCCGCGCTGCCGAGAGCATCGAGGCCAGCTTCCTCGTCAGCACAGCTTGGATCACGCGCGCCACCATTCTCCCCAGCACAGCCGAGGACTTCGCCAGCTCCCTCGTTAGCACAGCCTGGATCGTCGGTGCCACCATCCTCGCCAGCGCAGCCAGGAGCTTCGATGCCAGCGTTCTCGTCAGCACCTGGATCGCAAAGGCCGTCGTCCTCACCAACGATATCGAGAGCTTCGACGACAACACTCTCGCCACCGCAGCTCCGATCACCAGCGCCAGACCTCGACAGTGCAGCGAAGAGCTTCGACGACGGCACCCTCGACATCACAGCCTGGACCGCTGGCGCCATTGTCCTCGCCAGCGTAGACGAAAGCTTCGATGACGGCATCCCCGTCGGCGCAGCCTGGATCGCCGGCGCCATCCTCGCCAGCGCAGTCGAGAGCTTCGATGACAGCAACCTCGTCAGTACATCCTGGATCGCCGACGTCAACATCCCCGCTAGCGCAGCGCCTTGATGGCAGTATCCTCGTCGCCGACGCCTTCTCTCCTGCGCCGCACACAACACCCCGCCCGACGTCGCCCAGGCACCCTCCCCGACGACCTCCTCGCTGCCCCCTCAGGTTGCCTGGTGTCAGAATCTGGGCCCTCGAGCATTAACACCAGGCCGCGCCCCTCACCGCTCCAAACGGACAATGTTCCCCTCACGCATCTTCGGCCAGTTCGTCGAGTCGGTCGACGAACTGGCCGAGGAGGTTGGCTCCTCCTCCTCACCTCCGCCGCCATCTCCATCTCCGCGCTTCGGCCTAGGGAGGGGCAACGCCGTCGGTGGCTCGCCTGTTGCCGACCGTGCGCACCGTGTTTTCGCCGGCAGGGTCTCAGCGTATCTCAGCGGCGATTCCAGCATTGACCGCCTCGTCAGCGTGCAGTGGTTGTTCTGAGCTTTTGCGCACGTCCGCGCGGCGCCCTCCTGCGGCACCAGCAACCTCCCGCCGCCCCCGCTCCCCAGCTTCGGCAGTTCCTCGACACAATCAACTTCAAGCGCCCGCGCGCCGATTCCCCGCCGCTGAATGCAGACGGCTCGTCCCGGGACTTCCCCAGCCCCCGGTCCCCTCCTCCCCCGCCGCCTCCATCCCTGAGCTCAGGTGGCTTTCCATGGGTTTTCCTGGCTTCCAACTCCAGGGTCAATCCAGTCGTCACGCCTGCACCACTCCCGCGCTGTGTATGTGTATGTGTGGTTTATTATCTGTGCGTGTGTGCGTGAGCGTGGGCGGGTGCCCTCTTTCTGGGGGCGAGGCACGCACCAACTACGCGACATTAGCCGCGCTGTTCCCAAATCCAGATGCTGCACGCGCGCACCCACTTTGTGATGGGCAAATAACCAGGTTAGGTCCTCATACCCCCCCGACAAGTTGGAAATTG